CCCCCCTCTCAGATGTCCCTGTGTCCCCCCACCTGGTTCCCAGGGTCCCTCCATGCAGCCCCTCGTGCCCCAGGAGCACAGACCTGCTGTCCAGGGACACTGCTCCCAAGGAAAGGCTTTGCTCCATGTCCTCCTCCAGCCTTTCAGTGCTGGACCCTGCAAAAGCCCACGAGGTGACAAAAGATGAGTTTCTTCACAAGGTGACAATGTTGAGTTTCCTCACAGGGTGACAATGTTGAGTTTCCTCACAGGGTGACAATGTTGAGTTTCCTCACAAGGTGACAATGTTGAGTTTCCTCACAGGGTGACAATGTTGAGTTTCCTCACAAGGTGACAATGTTGAGTTTCCTCACAGGGTGTTCTTGCTTCACTCAGCTCAGATTTGAGCTTCAGTTCCCACTTTTGGTAGCGCAGCTTGTGGCATCTCTGTTTGGAAAGACGAAGGCAGGAGCAGTGGAAAGCCTCACCCTGAGCTTTCTCCAAACTCTTCCTTTAGGGAACGGGTTGGAGCTGTGAATCCTTTCAGCAGGAGCTGTTTCTCTGTCCCCAGAGAAGCGTTTTTGGCTCCCTGGGGAGGATCTGTGCAGCCAGCTCTGCTCCATTCTGCCCCTTGGCTTTAGCAGGAGGCAGCAGGAGAACCTGCCAGAGATGTTCTTCCCCAGAAATCTCCAGAATGCCCAGTTTAGGGAAAACTTGGGTGGAATTGTTGAACCTGCCCGGTTCAGGCTCTGGCCAAGGCAGCTCCTTTGAGTTGGACCAAACTTGCCCAGGGCCAACCCTGGTGTGATTCTTGGGGTTGTCCTGTGCAGGACCAGGAGCCGGACTTGGTGATCCTGGGGGGTCCCAAAAGATTCCAGGATTCCAACACCTCTGGTGAGGGCAACCCCAACGGAGTTCCTCATTCTGCTGGCAGCCTGAGAGGGCCAGCCAGAGCCTGTCACCTCCCTGTCACCTCCCTGTCACCTCCCTGTCCCCCCTGTCCCCCTCCACACTATTGCCTTGGCCAGGGCTTGCCTGCCCTCCTGGCCACGCCACCCCCTTGTCCCCAGTCCCCACCTGGCTTGTGATACCAAAGACGTTCTCTATGCAGGAGAAAGCCTTCATTGCCACCCAGCACAGACCTTACAAGCCTTTGACAATGTTCTCTGAAATACCTCAAAATATTTAATGTATAGTTTATGTGATAAAAAAAAAAAATTACTTAGCTAGTTTTTGGAATTTGTGACTTGAAGCTTTATACTGTTAAATTATAATTTTGCAGAAGACGGCATGTTCTTATTTCTTTGATGCGTTCAATGGGAGACATATTGAATGTTAAGGAAATGAAAGCTGGATAGTTTCACGATTTAAAAAAAAAAAAAGAGAGAGAAAGAGAGAGAGAAAGAGAGAGAGAAAGATTAAAAAAAAAAAGGACCCTTGGAGTTTACAGATTTCATATTTAAACAAGTCCTTTTAAAAAAAAAAAAGAAAAAAAAAGAAAAACTAATAATGATGACGATACCTTTGCGTTCAGATGTGTTACTTTTCTCTGAGTCATGTCGTACAAGAGTATTTATTATATGTGTTCTGTGTTCAAATGTAATTTAAAGAAGACAAAAAAAAAAAAGAAAAAAAAAGACAAGATGAGAATTTGATTTATGCATGAAAAAAATATACTCTTTCTTGAAGTAATGTAATAATTATTGGGGAGGGGAGGTCGGGTGGGAGCGGGAGGGGACAAACTGTGCTTTTTTTGGTCCACGAGTTTTTGGTTGATGAAGATTTCTCTGCATGGATCATGGTTCTGTTCCAACTCACAACCACGGGAAAGTCATCATTTATCCCCTCGGTTTCTTCCTTCATCTCTTTTGTTCCTTTCCTCACCCTGGAAATCTCTTGGCAGCCACGGGGGGAGGCGGGGGCTGCTTGGGGGACCCCCAGGCAGGGTGAGGGGCACAGCCTGGCCCCGTGCCCAGCAAACAGGGTAAGGGAATCTGGGCCACAGGACCCTGCCGTGCCCACCCATCCCTGCTGCCTCCCCCCTGGCTCTGGCTCCTCGCTCTGCTTCGTGTTTTCTGTTTGTTTGCTGGGGGGGTTGTGGTTTTTGGGTTTGGTTTTTTTTTGCTTTATCCAGCTCTGTGGGTCAAATCCCAAGTGCAGCCAAGAGGAGGAGAGACAATCAGCCACCACCACGACCTGAGCTGGCAAAGCCATGGGGCTCCTCGTGTGCTCTGAGACAAGGGAAACAGCCCTGGGCACCCCAAAACTGCCCTCAGGGCTGAGACCTCTCCAGGTGATGTTCCCAAATCCCCATCCTTGGGATGACCTCACAGCCCTGCCCGGCGCAGAAAGAGGTGCTGAGGGTGGTGCTGCATCAAGGCCCAGCTGGACCCAGGGATGGGCTGGAGTGACCCATTTCTGAGGTCTTTGTCCTCAAGAATGTGGTTTGGGTCAGAGGCACACCCAGCACTCTGTCCCTGTCAGACTTTCCTGTGCCACCAGCCTGGCTCTCACTCTGTGCCTGCCCTGGCTGAAGAAGAGACTCCAGGCAGTGGAAGAGCCCCTGGAGGATCCCAAACCACCAGATGGTCTCAGGCCACTTTGGAAGGGCTTTGGAGCTTTCTGTAAATGCCCAGAGTCCACCCCCTGAGTGGCTCTGTCCTTCCCCTGCTCCTTCTTCCCCCTGCTCCTCCCTCCCCCTGCTCCTCCTCCTCGAGGAGCACCTTTGGAGGCCAGGAAGGTGATGGGGACCTGGAGGAGGCAGTGGTGCCATTCCCAGAGTATTTCCCTGAAATTGCTGCTTCCTCAGCCCTTTCCAACCTCTTTACCACCCGAGGTGGACCCAAAGCTCAGCTCACCATGAGGAAAGAGAGCTCCTTCAGGTTCCACCAAAGTGGCCCCCAAAAGCCAAGGAAGGTGTTTTTCAGTCTGCAGCTTCTGTCTGGTGCCATGATCCTGCAGCCTTTGCTGCCAGCACCGAGATGCTCAGCAGCAGGTGGTGGTGGGAGACCCATAGACCAAGGACCTGGCTTTTAGGAGGAGATGTTGTTGGTTCCAGCAACACCACTCATCTGCTGACCAACCTCTGGGGAGCTCAGCATCCCCCTCATGCCTTGTTTCCTCCTCAAGGACCTTTTCCACCATGAGAAGCCTGAAGGACAAGACTGCAATTACAACTGCAAGAAGGTCAACCAGGTTTGGATACAACCCCAGCCACAAGTCCTTGTGACTCTCCTTACAGAGACCAGCTGGATTCCATCCTGGGGATTGAAGGCTTGGGAGACCCTGGAGAAGCCAAGACCCGAGTCCTCCTCCCCATCCTTTGGCCCATCAGGACTCTCTGGCTCAGCTGAGCCCTGCCCACACTGGATCTGGCCGTGCCTGCTGCCCACACCAACCAAAATGCCTTCAGGAGCAACTTGCCGCGATACCAAAGATTTTTTTTCCCCTGCAGGTAATGACAATCCAAGCTCTGTCCTAAAGACAATTCTCTTGACCAGGGTTGCACCCAAAGGGCATTTTTGTGCTGTGGGGAGCAGAAGCAGAAACGGGGGCCTGGGAACACCTCCAGGGGTGATGGAGGGCAGTGAGGAAGAGGAGAAGAGATCTCCCAGTAAAACCTACCAGTTCATCCTGGCCACTGCCTCTTGCTTGAACTGTGGAAGTTTTCAGGGATTTGGGTCATTTCATGACCTGTGATGCCCCCAGCCACTCCGGTTCTTCCTGGAGTGGAAGTTTTCCAACGATGGCTTTTATACTTTGAAATATCTCTGCCAGCAGTGGGCCAGCACCATCCCCATCCCACCAGGAAAGCAGGAGGCTCTTGGGGTCGGTTTAAACATTTTTATCCCACTCTGGCACAACCAGAGCCAAGCTTTCCCTGCTCTAACACCAGCTGTGCCAGCAGGACATTGGCACAGAGTGAGAGAAATGGCTTTGCCAAAAATTCACCCTTTTTTCCTGAACATCCCAAGTGTGGGTGGGGAAGACGATCAGCTCCTCTTTACCTCTCTCCCCAACCCATGTTGGGCACTTTCAGTCAGTGCCCCGTCTGCCTGTCCCTGTCACCACCACATGTCCCCAGCATGGAGCTGCCTCCTTTCCCTTGTCTCAGAGGACACCCAGCCACGGGTGCCGCCACAAGGAACATCTCTCACATCTTTGTTTGGCGTTTTTAAAGACAGGAAACTAAAAACGCAAAGAACAAAATTTGGGTTTGGTTTGGGGTTTTTTTTTATTTTTTCCCTTTGATTTCTAAAGAAAACAAAGGAGTCAGACAGAATCCAGCCCGGCCAGGGAGAACCCACAGCCTCGGCTCTGCCAGCCCAGCCTCCTCCAGAAAACATTGTTCATTTTTCTGTATAGCAATAGGTGATGCTCGTCCTCATCCCACGCACTCCGAGGGCCACATCTCTGAGTTTTTAAATGACTTTTTCCTTTCTAATTAAATTAATTTATTTTTTTTTTGCTGCTGCTTCATTGTTACTCTCATGGGATAAGTTTTATTCTACAGCGAAATGCAATTGTTACTCCTCTGTGTCTTGCAACTATATTTGTTTAAGCTATTTACAAACGTTAAAAAAGAAAAAAAAATAAAAAAGAGTCTTATGTGTCAGGCACTTTATCCAAAATGTGCTGTGTGCTCTGGAGTTTGTTCCTTGTTCTTTGCAATGACTCACGCAGGGGAAGTTATCAGGAAACTTAACTCCAGCCTGTCAACAGGTTTTAAAAGAGAGAAAAAAAATAATCTCTATTTGTTCATCCTCTACTGGTCATGACTGTGTTGTATTTCTGCAGCTTTCTGTTTCTTCAATAAATTATTTTCTAGTCATTCACCCTGGCGTGTGTGGTGTCCTGTGGTGGTGAGGGGGTCACGTTCCTCTCCATGCCCCTTTCACCACCTCACTCCTCCCACAAACCCAGCCTGGGAGATGCAGGGATCATGCCCAGGATGTTGTTTTCCACCCCCTGTTTTCCACCCCCTGTTTTCCACCCCCTGTTCTCCACCTCCTGTTTTCCACCCCCGTTTTTCCATCCCCTGTTTTCCACCTGGCAGTTGCAGCAGTGAGAGCTTCCCCAGAGGAAAGACTTTTATTTCTTGGCACCATCCAGGTCCTTCTGGCCAGAGCCCAAGGGAAACACTTTAATTCTCACAAACCCGGTGCAGATGAGGCCAAAGCACTTGTAAAACAAACCCATCAACTCACATGTGCTGCAGGCAGGGCCAAGCCCCCGTGGATGATTTAATTGTGCATCTTTTTACCCAGATTTCTTCTCCTGCTGTGCCTTTTGCCACGGCACAAGCACTGCTGGCACAGACTGAGGCACCTTCCAGTGCCACTTTCACCCTTTGTGGCACAGCAGGAGAGGAGATAAAAGCTAAACCATCATTTTAATTAAAACCAAAGCCCTAATAAGGGTGATCCAGTTCACACACAACTTCTCCAGCAGCCACTGCTGGTGGCCCTGGCTCTGTGGGATGTGTCCCCTGTGTCCACCAGGCAGAACTTATCCACATCCCCCCCAGAAGTGCTTTTTGGGACTTTGCAAAGCCTGTGGCTGTAAGTTGTCCCCAAAGGTGGGGACACCAGACCTGGGGAAGTGGTGTGGAGATGGGACAAGGCACATAGAGAGCACTGCCCCTTGTGCAGGGACAGCAAAGGCAGGGGCTGAGAGTGGTGGGGAGTGCCAAGGAGGGCTGCAGGAGCCAGGCTGGTCTGGCTGGAGAAGAAAAACCTGCAGGTGATCAATCAATCAATCAATCAATCAAACCTGCCTGCTTCTCCAGAAATTAGGGGATATTTTAAAATTACACTGCTCGAGTCTGAGCCACCTGGGCTGGTGGAGGTGACCCTGCCCATGGCAGAGGGTGCAATGAGATGAGCTTTAAGGTCCCACCCAAACCTCTGCAGGATTCTGTGACCTGTTTGATGACAGAAAAGCCACAGGATTGTCACCAGCCCTTGGTGGAGAACACGAAAGGTTCTTCATGCAGCCACTGCAGCTCAGTCCCCTGTGGGTGGGAATGAGCAGGGCTGAGGGGCTGCACCCACACCCAGCCCACGCTGCTCTCCATCGGGACATTTAATTAATTCCAAGGTGCGTTAATGAGTCTGGGTCAGCAGCGCTGCTTTTGTGGGTGCAGCTTGGGGTGGGATGAGCCTCACACAAGAGGAAGCCCAGGTTCCAAGGACTCAGCAGAGGGAAGGGGCTGTGCTGCCAGCCAGGGGTCCCAGGGCGAGGGGCCGAGCCCAGTGGCAGTGGTCAGTGGCTTCCAGAGCTTTCCAGCACCATGTGCAGCAGTGTGGGGCCATGGGGCCACTGCAGGGCCCAGTCCAGGGCTCAGCACCCGCAGCAGGAGCCCCCCAGGCTGGGCCAGCCCCTCTGCAACCGCAGGGGCTGCAAAGCCCCCAAGTAAGATTAAAGGTGGAGGGAAGAGCCAGGTGTGCGCCCTGCTGAGGGGCTACACCGAGGGGCAGAGCAGGGAGGACACGGCCGGGGTGCCCTGGGGTGGCAGGGGACCCGGGGAGGTGCCGTGGGTGGCCCTGGCACGCAGACTGTCCCCGCGGGTGATGAGGCCGGCGTAGCCCTCCTGATGGGAGAAGGCGTAGCTGGAGCGGCGGTGGAAGGAGCCGCGGGGAACGTGGGATCGCAGCTCCACTGAGGGCTCTGGATCTCGCTTGGCCTTCAGGTGGATCTTCTGCAAGGACAGCAGAGATCGGGGCTGGGGACATCTCCCAGGAGAGCCCTCATCCCAACGGGGACATGAAGGGAGAGCAGGGGCACCTCCACCAGGGCTGGTTTGGCTCCCAGATTTATGATGACTTGATTTTCCATGGGGATGAGGAATCTGGGGATTCTCCTGGGGATCTGAAAAGCTGATGGATCTCTGGAGCACAGTGTCAACCCCTGCTCCCACAGGGGCTGTGGACATCTCCCAGGCAAGCCCTCAGCCCAAGGTGGGACACGCGGTAGTCACAGTGTGACAGGTAAACCCTCCACCAGGACAGGGTTTGGATCCCAGCTCCACCATGACCTCCTTTTCCATGATGGGATGTGGGGACTCTCCCGGGGGCTGCAAAGCTCACAAAACTCTCGAGCACAATCTCAATCCCTGCTTCCACCTGGGACTCTTTTGAAGGTATAACCCACAGCCCTGGTGGGGGTGAGCTCCACCAAGGCTGGGGTGGCACCAGGACCTGCAGCAGACCCCAAACCCTCCTGGGGGGTCCTGGAGGACAATTCCTTACTGCAGCCAAAAGCAGACCCTCTGCAAGAGCTGGGTCAGGTCTCTTGGCCCAGCCCCCCTGCTGGGCCATGGAACAATTTTGGGAGAGAGCCCTGGAGTGAGAGTTGGTGCCAGTGTCATGAAGGACGAGTGGCACCACCAGGGATTCCCAGCACCACAGCCCAGGCTTCCCTGGGCTGCCCCTGCCATCACCAATCCCAGACCCCAACCCTGGGGGGAAGCAGGACCTGTCCCTGCCAGTCCCCCCCAGCCCTCACCTGCTGGGGGGTGGCTCTGCCCAGGACAGCACGGAAGGCACGGACAGCGAGCGAGGGGATGGTGTTGGCCACCAGGGACAGCAGGACCACGAGCAGGACATAGGGGTCGGTCAGGGCATTCCAGCAGGCATCTGTCAACACAGATGTGATGTTTGGGTGGGGAAGGTGGAAACAGCAGAGGGAACAAGTGTTGGGGGACAGGCCAACACGTGCTGAGGGTTCTGAAGAGGAGATGACACCTAAACTGGTAAAAGTCAAGACAGCAGTTGAAGAAGTGGCAATGAGGAGATGATCTACAGGCTGAGAAACAGCTCCTAGCACCAAGGCCAGGGAAGGGAAGGGCCGTGGGGATCCCCAGGGCACCTCACCTGGGAAGCGGAAGATGGCAGGGGCAATCCTGAAGGCATCAACGCTTTGGGTCAGGAAGGAGAAGAGGCAGAAGAAGAGCAGGCTGGCTGTGACCATCAGGAAGGACAACACTGTCCAGTACTGAGTGTCCAGGACAATCTGTGGGAACAAGGGCAGAGCGGGAAGAGCACACGGTCTCATGAGGCCCATGGTGACCCTCTTCCATCCAGCTGCTTCATCCAAATTCCTCCTCCATCTCAGGGAGATCGTCCCCCAGCCATAAAGCCACTGCAGACAGTGCCAGAGCCCAGGGACCCTAAAGAGCTGCTGTGGGGCAGGATGAGGAAGAGCAGATCAGTGCTCACCTCCACGAGGACCGACAGCAATGCTGACAGGGCCACTGTGACAGAGAAGGACTCGTAGTCACCCACAGCCTTGGTGCCCACGTGGTCCTCAAAGGCCCAGAGCGTGATGTAGAAGCTGATGAGGGAGGTGCCCACCCCGTGCAGGAGGGTGACACCAAAAACGCGGTAATTGAAGAGCTCGTCCTGCTGCCCGACCATGTAGAGCTCAGGGAACTCCAGGCTCTTCTTGGCACTCACGTCCTGCTGGGAGAGCATCCCAGAGGGGATGCAGAGACTGGGGGAGCTGGATGGGGCTGCCCCACCCCACACACCCTCTGGAAGAGCTGCAGTGGGTCCCTCTGCCCAGTGGCTTTGGGGGACTGGGGACAGGCACCCCAGGACCGGGGGTGAGCTCCAAATGCCCACTGAGCTGCCAATGCCATGTCCTGGCACAAAGGGCTGTGGAGATGGGTGCAGTGACTGCCAGGGTGATTCCCAGGGTGGCACAGCAAGCCCGGGAAAGCCGTACCTGCTCCAGAAGGCCCACGGAGAGCACGGGGTAGGCAGTGTAGAAAATGTTGTACAGCGCAAGGAACCAGCCCTCGTACAGAGGCTAGAAGGGAGCAGGGAGAAGCTGTGAGCTTGGAGGTGCTTTGGAAAGACTCACAAAGGATGTCCAGGCCCCAGGACACTCAGATCCAAGTATGGAAATCCCCTTGGACTTGTCCCATCCCCTGCATCAGCCCCAGATTTTCTGTAGGGTTGTGCTGCAGACAGAGATGGGGCTGGAGCTCCACATGTTGTCACAAGTCACACTTGATGACGGCCTTTGGGATCAAAACTCCCATTTTAGAGGAAACCAGCTTAATGCACGTGGGATCCTGCATCTGTCCAAGACTGAACTGCAGCTCACAAGGAGATCCCGAGTTTCCCCAGGGTGCTGTCCCAGTCTAGCCAGGTGAAAAGCAGATAACCAGTGGTGTCTCAGTCAGACAATCACAAGAAATTGTGGTAAGGGAGGTAAGGGAGAACAGGGTAAGGGAGAACAGGGGACCAAGGTGGTGATGTGGACACGTGTCCTCCAGACAGCCCCAGGCACGATCCCTGCAGGGGATCCTGAGCAGGGGGAGTTGTAACTCTGGTATAGAAACCTCCACAGGAGGGATGTGACCCCTGCATGCCTCACCTGGGCCGTGAATCCGCTGTGGAAAGCAAACCACACCTGGGGCAGGAGGCCAGCAAAGGTCTTGTAGAGGAAGTACCGGAGGAACTTGCAGATGCGCAGGTAATTCCAGCGGCCGTGGACGAGCAGCAGGCGCTGCAGGAAGGAGAACTGGGCCAGGGCGTAGTCACTGCACTGCACGGCCTGCAGCCCCTCCAGCCCGCTGATGCCCACCCCGATGTCCGCGGCTGCGGGTGGCAAACGCACACGGGGAGGTTGGGGGGGAGCTGGGGGCTTGATTTCCCCATGGGCTGTCCCGAGGAATGTGAATCCAGGAGTGACGGAAAAGGGAAGAAGCCCCCGCTATCCCATGTCCTGGATATTCCAGGTGTGGTGTGCCAAGAGCACAGCCCCGTGTCAGGGCTGCTGGGAGGGGCAGGGATGGCTCTGCCAGCTGCCCACATTGGGGTTTGAAGGTTCATCAAGGTTCATCCCAGATGCCAAAAGCACATGGGACACCTTGCACTTGTCTCGGGCTGTCCCTGTCCTGTGCCTCTCGCTCCCTCCCAGCACAGCGATGCGGGGAACAGGTTTGGGCTTCCCCTCCCAGTTCCTCACCCCAAAGAGGAGGGTGAGGTGGTGGAGATGACAAATGGGGCAGCACCATCACCAGTGGGATACACCAATGGAGCCCTGACCTCCCCTGCCCGAGCCTCACTTTTGATCATGTTGACATCGTTGGCGCCATCCCCGATGGCCAAGGTGACAGCCTTCTTGTGCTTCTTCACCAGCTGCACTATCAGGGCTTTCTGCTTGGGGGTCACCCTGCAGCAGATGACGGCCTGGCAGCTGGTGGCCAGGTCCACAAAGGCCTTCTCCACCAGACCTCCCTGGTCCTGCGAGGCCTCGGCCCCATCACAGCACAGCCACCGCCACGGCCACCCCTTCTTCTCCTTCAGCACCTCTCCCGTGTGGAGGATTTTGTCCTTGGGAAGAGCACACGTGGCTGGGACCTCTCCCATAGCCCACAGAGCCCTCAGCTCCTGAGCAATGCTCTTAAATGCCCCAAAAGAGTGACTCTGGTTTTCTCCAGGTTCATCATGGAGCAGGTGACCATGAGCCCAGTATGTCCCAGTATAATATATATATATAAAATATATATAAACATGAGAGTTTGTGGTCACCACCCGGCCTGTGTCACCCCAGAACACTGAGCAGCTTTGGTCAAAGCCCCCCAGCACCAAATGCTCAGTGCAAGGTTGTTCTCCTCTCCACCCTTCACTCCCCAGCCCCAAACGGGCTTTTCCCTCCTTTTGGGCAGGAGGAGCACCGTGTCCTGCACGTTCTGGTGCCACCCAGGACTCTGATACCACCAGGGCAGGAACAACCATCAGGCAGGGAGCAGAGAACAGCATCCAGGTGCCACCTTACCAGGAAGTCCCCACTGATGATGATGGCTCTCTTGTGGCACAGAGCCTCTGGGCGCTCCTGGGAGGGGCGGTGGCTGCACGGGGTGTCCCCACCGCCACTGAGGTTGTTGTTGCTCTCCCAGTAAGCCTGGAGGATCTCGCTGTGGGAGGGAGTTGGACATGAGCTGGGGACACTGGGAATGCTGGTGAGACCTACAGTGGTCCTTGGTCATCTCAAAGCTAGGGAGATGGGACTGTGGTGGGGACAAAGAGGAGATACCAGATCACTGATACCAGAAATCAGCCTGGTTTAGAGGCTGGAGAGAAGCTTTAACCATTTCTGGTCAAAGCCTGCCAAGGAAGAGCATGGGGTGGGAGAGGAAACAGGTGGGGAAGCCTGGAAAATCATCAGAGGAAGACCATGGACACCCAGGCTGGCACAGGGAAGGAGAAGCACCTCTGGCTGAGCTGAGCTCTGCCCACTCTGCCCCAGTTCCTCTGCCCTAGAGTGTCCTCAGCAGGGACAGCAACATCCTGAGCCAGGAGGTGACCATTCCTCACCTGACCTCCTTCTCCTCCAGGATCTCCATGTCGTCCGTCAGCAGCCTGCAGGCGTAGCCGATGTTCATTGCAGTCTCTGCAACAGCCAGTCAATGGTCCGTGGCGCTGCCCCCCAGCCCAGGGCAGCCCCCAGCCCTTGGTTCCAAGAGCCCTTGGTGGGCAGCAGCTCCTTCCCCTGCCTCAGTTTCCCCTGGCAAGTGGGATGTGCTGCTATTGAAGAGTAAAGGGAGCAGCAGGACCCGTTCCTGCCCACTCCCAGTGGCTCTTCTCTCTGGTCCTGGTTAGGGGAGAAGCTGAAATGTGTTGGGGGGGTCTGGGGGTGCCTCCACTGACCTTGTTTGTCTCCTGTCAGCACCCACACTTTGATGTTGCCCAGTTTCAGCAGCTGGATGGTCTCGGGGACTCCGTCTTGCAGCTTGTCCTCGATGGCCGTGGCCCCGAGCAGCTGGAGGGGGGTGACTGGGTGTCATGGCACAGGGCAGGGCAGGACACGGAGGTGGGAATCACCCCTGGACACAACCAGCAGCCTTTGCTGGGGGTAGACACAACTTGACAGCTACAACTTGACGGCCTGGTGACCACTGGTGTCACAAAGTCATCCCTCGGGGAAATCCTCCCACCCAGGGAATGGGTGTTGGGTTGGGCACTTCACCTCCTCATTCTGGAGAGCCAAACCCCACATGCCTGCCTTATGGGGCACAGACAGCTCCTGCTGACCCCGGCCCCATCCCACCTGCAGGTTCTGCTCCATCTCCTCATAGAGCCTGTCCAGCTCCCGGGCACGGTCCTGCAGCAGCACCGTGGCCTCGCGGTGCCTCCGGCTCCAGGCGTGGAACTCGGCCTCGCTCACCTCCCTGCTGGCCACGCACAGTGTCCTCAGCGTCTCCTCTGCAAAGCGCTGCGGGGAGGAGACATCAGGACTCTCCTTCCTCCCCAGGATCACTCTCACAGGACCAGGGCATCACCCCAGGCCAGCCATGGCAGAGCCAGAGATGCTGCAGGACCTGTGAGTCTCTCTCAGGGCTCTGACTTCCTTCCCCCATCCTACAGCATCCCCATGAGCATCCTTGGATGCAGCTGGTCCATGCAGAACACCCAAGGTGGATTCCATGCCCTCTTACCCCCTGTCCCACATGCAGGTGAGGCTCCTAGAGCAGAAGGCAGAACCAAAATCCCTAAGGCAGAGGGAGGAAGAGCAGCAGGGCACTGACTGCAGGACACCCAGCCCAAAGCCAGCAGGAGGGAGAACAGTCCTGTCACCCTGGCTGGGTGGGACTCACATCCAGCGCCGTCTCGGTCAGGGTCTCGCTGGGCCCTCGGCTCCGCAGCCTCTCCAGGATGACGGTGTCGGCACCCTTGGTGTAGAGCCGGATGGTGCCCTGGGGGTCTCGCACTGGCAGGGAGGGGAAGGACACCTTAGGTCCCCTCAGAGATGGCTCCCAGTCATTGCTGTCCCTGCAGGGTGGCTGCACTGGCCTGTGCTGGCCCCCAGAAAGCACCACAGGGCTCGCTGGTGCTTTTCCATGTGTGGCCATGGGAAGCACAGGAATATCCCCAGATCGGCACCACCACGGGGCAGAATCAGGCCTCAGGGACTGTCAGCTCCTCACACAACTCCTCTGTGCCCTGGATTTACTTCCTCCCTCCTGGCTGCTCAAACTCTTCTCAGCTGGTGAGCAAATCCACAGGGATGACCAGGATGACCCTTAGGAGCCCTGTGCCAGCTGTGGCCACCTGCAGCCATCCCAGTGCCATCCCTCGTGGGGCTGAGCACAGAAAGGAGCCTGGAGGAGCCCCCTGGGACAGCCCACCCCACTCACCCAGGACAGACATCCTCTTGCGGTCGCTGTTGAAGTCCAGCATGGCCAGCACCTCGTACGTCCTGGTCCTGCCCAGCTCCCTGATGGTGATGCTGTCCTGGGTCCGGGCCAGGAAGACGTAGCCCAAGCTCCTGGCTGCCAACACCAGCGCTTCCTCATCTGGGGAAGCTGCCTGGTAAACCAGCTGGTCTGCAGGAGAGGAGAGACTGATCACCCCCAGCCAAACCACACTGGGACAGCTGCAATGCCCTGTTCCTGCCCAGCAGCAGCTGGGACACGTCCAGCCTGAGCTACCAGGCTGGGCAAACTCAGTCCTGCTTGTCTCATCTGGAAAGGGACTGGGGACAAGGCCTGCAGGGACAGGACACAGGGAATGGCTCCCAGTGCCAGAGGGCATGGCTGGATGGGATATTGGGCAGGAATTGTTGGCTGGGAGGGTGGGCAGGCCCTGGCACAGGGTGCCCAGAGCAGCTGGGGCTGCCCCTGGATCCCTGGAAGTGTCCAAGGCCAGGCTGGGAGAGTTGGACACCTTAACTCAAAGGTGTCTCCACCATGGCAGGGATGGAGCTGGATGAGTTTTGAGGTCCCTCCCAACGCCAACCATTCTGGGATTCTGTGATCCTTTTTGCTCCAGCCAGGATTATCCCCCTTGTGCTTCTCTTCCAACCCATGAGCTTTTAAACACCCCAAAACACAAATCCATGGCCCAGGGACAGTGTCACGAGCCACCCCTGGGCTCTCACACCCGCTGAGCTTTGCTGGGTGCTGCCAAACCCCAGCACGGCCCCAGAGCCCCGAGGGGCAGCTGAACCCACCGCCCCTGTCCTCCACCATGACGGTGTGGCAGAGCGCCAGCAGCCTCAGGAACTCCCTCAGCACCGGGTCGCTGTCCCTCTGAGCGGCTTCCAGCAGCGTCACATCGCAAACATCCACCTTGTGCTCGCCCCCCGCCAGCCACGGGCCCTGCCAGAGGCACAGGAAGGATTCAGGAGCCCGGTGGCACTGGGCACAGGGCTGTGTGTCCCCAGGAGCACCGGGGAGGTGACACCGTGGCACTCTGCTGCCTGAGCCTCAGCCCAGCTCTGCACTGCCCACACCAAGGGGCTGAGGTAAAACAGCTGGCAGTGAAAAACCCTAAAAACCAGAACTGCATCGTTTTATAACCCCAGTTCCTGTCCTGAGTGGCAGCTGAGGAGCTGCAAACTCGCCAGGCCCCTCTGAGAGCCTGGACCCTGCTGGTGTCACCGCTGTCACCGCTGTCACCAGGGGCACGTGGCACATGGGAGGGGGGACTCACGCACCGGTGGCTGTTTGTTCTCCTGGCCTGTGCCTGCACCTGCCAAAATAAAAATAATCTAGTCAACAGAGGGCTGGCAGGGGGCTGGGAGCAGCTTCTCTGGAGGGACTCCTGCTGGCCAAAACCCCAGCAAAACCAGCAAAAAGGCACCAGGTCTGCATCTGCTCAGTGTCAGACTCCACCGAGATATCCAGGCCTCGCTTTTTTGGCTTTTTGTTCAGATTTTCACCATGATTTTAACATTAAAAATTCAGGTCTGCTTTCCTGGGAGATTCTGCATTTGGCCAAAGACTGCTGGGATTAGGGTGATGCTGCTCCACAGAAGTGGAATGTGCTACACCTGGCAGGGAAAATTTGGCTTATTCCTGCCTAAAAGCTTTGCTAGGTGTTTTTGGCCCTCCTTTTTGCTTTTATCACTGTCCATTTGTCTCAAGCACATGATATTTATCTCAGGAAAACAGGGCTTCATGCTAAAGCTTGAGCCTGGCCTGCTCATTAAATTTCACTAATTAAGCATCATGACAGTTCCCAAAGTGAGCCAAGAGCTGGAGTAAGTGAAGCAATGAGAAGAGGAAGGACTTGGTGATTTTCAAGGTTTTATTGGGAAAACCAAGCAGAATCATTAAAAATAATAAAATTTTAAATGTAAAAAAATGGTTATAAAACCCAAAAAATCCCCAAAAAGACAATTTTTTTTTAAAAAAAAAGCAAAGAGCAATTGCATATGTTCACTCTAATTAAACAGCTTAAGGACAATGATCATTTCCTCGCCTCCTCCAAAGGTCCCCTGAAAGCCTCAAAGTGCCCAGATTTGGCAGCCAAGCTGGAGATTCCCCAGAAAATGATACAAAGAAGAAAAGCAAGAGCTCCTTTTTCTCTACAAGACCTTAAAAGAAAACAAAAATCCCCGGGCTCTCCTGGCCCCTCTCCTGTTTCTCCTCTGCCTGGCCCAGCATCAGCTCACGATTCCAGGTGGGATCCACCTCACCCACACCGTGCTTGGTGTAGCTGCCCCAGGGTCCTACCCCAGGCTCCCTCTTTTATCAGAGAAAACTTTTCTGGTCTGCACTGCCCGCACCAAGGGGCTGAGTGTAAAACAGCTGGCAGTGAAAAACCCTAAAAACCAGAACTGCATCGTTTTATAACCCCAGTTCCTGTCCTGAGTGGCAGCTGAGGAGCTGCAAACTCGCCAGGCCCCTCTGAGAGCCTGGACCCTGCTGGTGTCACCGCTGTCACCAAGGGCATGTGGCACATGGGAGGGGGGACTCACGCAGCAGCTGACTTTGGGCCATGAAACCTCTCCTGGTTGGAGGCCAGGACTGTGCCCTGACTCACACTCTGGTGTGCTGGGAACACCAGACCAGTGGGATCTCACGCTGTGGTGGCCCCAAAAACATGGGGGATGAGGGCAAGGAGAATTCCTACAGCACCACCTGCACCACCACCACCACCAATCCCCCTGTCCCAAGCCCTCAGGAGGGGTGGGAAGGACCAGCTCCAGGTTCATCTGAGCCCCTACAAACTTCTCCCAGCCTGGGTTACCGTAGATGGTCCCGTTGACGCAGCATTTCTTGAAGCTCATGATGTTCTGTGTCAGGGTGCCTGTCTTGTCTGAGAAGATGTACTCGATCTGCCCCAGCTGGTCGCTGAGGCTGGTGCTCCTGGCTTCGGCTGGCATGTCCTTGGCACCATAATACATCTCCAGGTCCCAGTTAATAAAACAGCTGTTCACCAGGTAGATGAATTCAAACCTAGGGAGTCCAGGAGGAGAAAACAGGGAGAAGGAGATGGTGTTCCTCACAACCCAGGGGCACTGACACAGGAAGGAGAGGCAGGGGGAGGTCCCCACCTTGATCCTACTGCTCTGGGCTTGGGGGACACCAGAGGGTTTTCATTGCTCGTGGCCAGACTTCCAAAAATCTCCTCACCCACCAGGTCCCCTCTGGATTCTGGTGAATTTGGTGACCAAATTCACAGATCTGGAGGTCCAGTGAGGGGCCCGAAAGTTTGGAAACAGCTTTTTCCAACATAAATGGTGATTGTTGCCTGCACAGAGAAGCTGTGCCCTTCTCCTCCCCCACCCTGCTGCTGTCCATATGAAGCCCAGGAATATCTCAGATCCTGCTCCCAGGGAGCTGCACCTTCCTCAGAGCCATCCTCAGCCTGGCCACGGTTCCCAAACTGCCCAGGGCTTGGATCCCTGGTGTGCTTTTCCCCTGGGAAGATCTCCAAGCAATCCTTGCTGTTTGTAGGATACAAACCCATCCACCCTTCCCCTGTCCCAGCTAAGGGAGCACCTGGGAATCACCTTGGCCACACCTTGACCTTCAGTGCAGCCTCATTTTGGGGCTGTGACCCAAGTTCCAGGTGAGGGCAGGGGGTGGGTGCTGAGCCCTGATCCCTGCCAAGCTCCGTGGTCCTTACGTGATGTACATGGACATGGGGATGATGACGCTCAGCAGGATGGTGAAGCCCCAGAAGTTGAGGAAGGCCTGCTGGGCAGGGCTCGTGTGCTTGTAGAGGGCAGCCAGGTAGCTGTGCTTCTCCTGGAACGTCCTGGCCCAGAACCCAGAGGCGACAGCGAGGCCCAGAGACGTCACCAAAAGCAGCAGGAAGATCTGGGGTGGGAAGCCAGCATGAGAAGGTCCCAAGATGAGAAAGTCCCAGGATCACAGAGCCCACCAGACTCTTCTCTAGAAGGCTTCAGGGAGAGCTCAGAGCCCCTTGCAGGGCCTAAAGGGGCTCCAGGAGAGCTGGAGAGGGACTGGGGACAAGGCCTGCAGGGACAGGACACAGGGAATGGCTCCCAGTGCCAGAGGGCAGGGCTGGATGGGATATTGGGAAGGAATTGTTGGCTGGGAGGGTGGGCAGGCCCTGGCACAGGGTGCCCAGAGCAGCTGGGGCTGCCCCTGGATCCCTGGCAGTGTCCAAGGCCAGGCTGGACGGGGCTTGGAGCAGCCTGGGATGGTGGGAGGTGTCCCTGCCATGGCAGGGACGGGACTGGATGGGCTTTGAGGTCCTTCCAACCCAAATCCTTCTGGGATTCTCTGATTCTCTGAACACGTTAAACCCAAGATATTTCAGGCCAAATATTGCAAGATGAAGGAAAGCAGCACCACCCGAGCAAGAGGTCTCTCCTGAAGAGCCCTGTGAGCCACTCCAGGAGCAGAGCAGAGGTGTTGGCACCCACCACGATCACCAGCCGGTCCATCAGGTGGTCCAGCTTGGTTTTCTTCTGCTTGATCTTTCCAGAGTTCATCATAATTTTGGAATCAAACCCTGGATAAGAAACACATCTGAAGTAAAAATGCAAGTCCCCAGGAGGTTCCCCTGCATGTTAGTGAGGCTGCTTCCCTCCATAGTGACACCTCTCCTCCCCTGAAGAGCCCAGAGGAGACCCTCCCTCCAGCAGTGTCCACTGAGCCGTGGCTGCACAATGTGATGCTCACAGCAGCTCACCCTTCCCTCTCCCCACAGCCCCGCATGGCCCAGCCCTGCACTGGATCCGGGGTGAGGAGAGCTTCGAC